TCACCGGACTCCTCATTCGATCGGCGCAACATTACTCAACTAATCGCGACTCGTGTGAAAACCTGGCACGTGACGTTTTTGTACCATGTTATAGATCGATTCGGGCTGAAATTTCGCATCGACAACTCTCATGCATTTCCGGAATCTGAGGAAGCGAGAAAAACCGCAACGCCTCCTCAGCACAGAAGGTACTGCATGAGAACTGATGTGAGGAAGTCGAAACCACTGCGAGCTCGTCGTCGGCTACGGATAGTCAGCGAAGGAAGTTTTTAAATATCCGTCCTTTGACCGTTTGTCCACGAACAAGAACGTGCGAACCGGACGAGTACAAAGGAGGAACATGGGACTTTCCAGCGGCTCCGCATCTGTTATTATCGAGGATAATAATCAGCGCGTCATCGGTTTCCCACAGTCTTCTGTACGAGGAAGAGTCGACTGGGGATCCCGTATGCGGTCGTCGTTCGCGACTCTAGCGAAAGCGATTGGACTGCGCATCTAATTCGAAATGATTCGTGCTGGTCACTGAAGCTGCAACAATTAATAGGGAAGAAGCATTACGAGCGGACAGGGATTGCCTCCGCTGGTCGCTGAAAACGCTCCAGCGCCTGTTATGATCATCTCTTTGTCACGTTTCCAGCACTTTCGCTTTCTCACTCCGTCGAATGTGGGCCAGCATTTAGGTGACTTTGTTTTGAAATTTTCCGGCCATGGGCGAAATCTCGGGGCGATGAGGCGGCGGCGACGACAACATCATCAACAGGATATCCGTCGGGTTCAGCTCACTACAATCTTTGCCCCGGGGACCACATCCTGCAGTAGCGGTAACACTATCCAACAATCTGTGTGACAATTGCGGCCTGCGCGCAAGCGACCGCTCGCAAGCGCGTCTCAATCACGCACTCGATTCGCGCGGAATCATTCTGGAGACGAGTGATCACAACGAATTGTTTGAATAATGAAACGGCTCCCTGCGAGGACGCTCACTTGGCTGCTTGTTTCCCAATAATTGACAGCGAGATCCACTCGGGCATCGAAGGCGATCGTCCACTGGCCGCAGGAGACCGCAAGCCCCACACCCACAGACTTTTTTTTTCGCAGTCATCATCAGGTCGCGGTTCCCTGCGATGATTACGGTCTATCACTTCAGCTGTCAAGCTTCTCCGGCGCAACGGCACCACAATCTCTCAATGATGATAGTTTATCTGTCGAACGGACATTCACTCAGAGCACACCGATGTTTATCGGAATTCCTTCCCGCGCAATGCCGATCACCTCTGTTGCCACAACGGAAAATCAAATGTGCTCATGGGACAAGGGAGAACTTCCCATAGACTTTTTCGCTTGCGGCTCGCGCTGACAGAGTCTCTGAGAAAAGAATCTCACGAGTCGTCGATGCGCAAGAATTATGTCGTATCCGTCTCGCTCGATTGGGTTGATCGATGGATCAATCGATCGATCGATGAAATCAAAAGGAAAATCGCGTCCGATCCAGCTTTCGGGACGATGGCCTTGTTGGTTGTGGCCGTTATAGTTTTCGTAGTAATGAATAATAATGTTGTGTGCGACCCCGTCGTCGATGCCGGTCGTCGAGTGACGGAACGACACACCGAAGTCTCTGCCCATTCAAGAACAGATATTTAGGCGAAATGGTACCGCGAACTGCCTCATGCCAGCGGCTGCCGTACGTTGTTTCAATGAAATGAATTCTCATTCATGCAAGGTGAGTTCGAGCAGTGGTCTCCTGACTAACGAACAGCTGACTCGCCCGTCCGCCAGCCTGCCTGCTCAACGAGCTAACTACCGACTGACCAATCCACGATTTCGATTGACGCTCGGAGACCCCGAAGGAGTTGGTAATTGTTGCTGCGGCGGCATGCAAGAAAATTTAACACAAAGGAGTTTCTTTGCTTCCCCAGATAATTGTTGGCAGAATTATTCGTTCCAGTCCGAGCGCCGTTCAATCGCTTGGCTCTGAATGAACGTTGAACATTGTCGCCGTTGTTGTCGCTGGAGACGGCCGAATTGGATAATTTCGAATTTACCCCGCTTGTTAAATCGAAGGTAGCGTGCGCTGTTTACTTTGTGGGTACGTTGGTTGGTTTTTCATTCATTCATCCATTCATGTCGGCCGAGCACTCGTCGTCGTGTTCGTGAACAGCGGCTCGTATATCCACGATCGGTCGCCTGACCACACCTCCATTGTTCCTTGCATTGGTCCTTAGCTTTGACCTCTAAGCAGTATTTCTTCTCGTTGTGTTCAACAAGTTGTCGCTCACCGGCACGATGTCATGCCTGTCAGTTCCATCTGACCGAAGCGCGACGGCAGCGGTCAGTAGCTGTGTCGTTACCGAAACGCTTACCATACTACGGGAGTCGTGATTCTATTGTTCTCGCTCATTGATAATAATGAGTGCTGGCAGAGAATATGTGTCATAAGTGTCCCATGTTACGTGTTTGTTTTGGTAACTCTTGGCTAAACGAGGCGGGGCTTCTGATGTAACCGAGTACTGGGAGAGCAGACATCAAACAGAAGACGTCGATTGCACAGTTCCGGTCATACGATTCATCCATCGCCGTCGATGCTGAGGTGCAGTCTTTCAATTACACTCCAGAATCTATTGGTTCCGCGCGCCGAATCCGAAACTTCCGCCTTTGACTTCGATAGCGTTGATGGGGAGCGAGTACCGATTCTGATCTTTATCGATATTTCCTGGTCTTGCTGATGTTGAGCTAAGCTTCGAGCTCGAAAATCAGGTGGGACGATCTTCTTCTAAGTGTTCCCATGACGAAGTTCTCCGGGAAGCCTCTGCTGCCGCTCCCTTGCGCTCATTATGGTCGAGCCCTCTCGGGCGACGATTCGGTCGTTTCATTGCCACCACTGCGCGGAACGAGAATAATCAATTCTAACTCTCGATGATTTTGTACACGGAAGGCAACGAGGATCGATTCTCGCACTCAGTTTTCGGCTGATCTCGCTTGACGTTGCTTTCTGTGGACCTCAAGGGGGGACGGATGGTGGAATGACGAATGATTGCTCCCGAGCCAGGAGCTCGGCTCAAGTCAAAGGAAAAGCCTTCACGGAGACGAAGAGCGTCGCTAGGGTGTATGGTGGGAAGATGGGATTAGGTGGGAAGGTGTGTGATGAATTCCGGCCACAAAAGTCCGTTGTTCCAAGAAGAACAGAAGTTTGCTTGCTACGGGGCCTACTATCGCTATCGCGGAATGATACGCCTATAAAAAACGAACGCTGCGGATTCGGCGAAAAGTGAATGATGGAAGTTGAATCGGAGCACAATCGCAATTGAATCGCGTTCCCCGTCGAGATAAGTCAGGATTGCCCGGACAAACCGACTCGCTGAGCCGTTTATTTGACTTGAGTTCCACGAGCGATTCCTCTTTCGCGTGGGGCGCAGGAAACTCTTACCGCACAACTTGACGCCGAGCACTTTTAGGTAATATGTATTCGTCATATCATCGTCACGATTCTGTTCAAATAGATGTCCTTCAACTTTCCGTTGCAAAGCAGTTTTCCATAGAGTGTTTTCTCAATCGTTCTCGCCCGAACAAGAATTGCTTTACATCTTCTTCTAGGCTTTGGATTGCTTCTCCGACAGAGTTGTCGGCCGAGTACCGATTCTCCGCAGGAGACAGACTCCCGAACAGTCTAGAAGTCAGATTCCAACACGAATCGTCTCTCCAGATCTGGCGAGAATCCCCGTCCCGGAAACCTCGAGGAAAATCAGGGTGGCCCTCCTCACTGATATTTATCCTAATTTTTCTTTCGTTTAAGAGGGGTGGAGAGCAAGCGGTTCCCGAGGAGCGGAAAAAGCCTCATTGTTATCGTGGCGAGTCCGTGAGTGTGGTGGTCGGCACGTAACGGCTGTTTTTTTTTTTGATTGCCTTATTTACATCTATCCACCGTCGTCGGGTGTGGTATGTTCAAGATCACGAAGAATGTGTTCGCAAACCAATCATCAACGTATTCACGGAAAAGCTATATCGAACATTGTTACTGCAAGTACACTTTGTGCTTCCATTGAGAATGCTCAGCCTTTGTCCGGAGTTTCTGTGCTAGACACAAACTAAACTACTATGCCGCTGACCCGTCTCGCTAACGGCGTTTGTGTTTTTTCGTTCCAAATCGGCTCCCCGTAGATCCCCGATCACAAGTTGGTTGGTTGTCTTGCACGAAGTTTGTATGTATTCTTAAACGGACTGAACGCTTCGGAGACGACACAGAGAATATCCGAGAGTAATTAAGTGAGATACTTTATTGATTGAACGCGGAATCCTCGACAAAACTTCGACGAGTTTTTCCGTTTTCGATGCTCACGAACTGCTGGGTACTCGTGTTTGCGTGTTCATTCTCCACAGAGGATTTTCACCGTCTGGCGGCCCTCTCATGCCAAAATCTCGAAGACGCTCGCGGAGCATCCGTTGAACGATTCATCGATTAAAACATCGAACGAAAACAAAAAATCAACAAGCAGAATACTGCGCTCTATCACCCTACGCTGACGACAGCGATATATTAAGCGGGGCATCCCCATTTGCACCCTCTTGCTCTCTCAACAATTAGAAGCACCGAACGCTGCGTTCGGCAATATTGCGATGGCTGCCGCTTTGGAAGAACCCTCGGAGTTAAGATCCTGAGGGCTGTCTTAGGATGTTCCTGCTCTCCGATCGCATCCGGATAGTACGACGTCAACGCCGAGCTCACCAAGCTTGTAGGGCGAAACCATGGCGGCAACGCTTCTGTCGAATCTCCAGACGTCCGGGCGAATCTGCCGTACCGTCCATTCTACGACCGGAAAATGATACGACTCTGCCAATCTCAGATGAGAGCTCGTCCACGGCTCACGTGTCGGGTCGACGAGAGAGACCCAGCTCGGTGTCCGTATGGCGAGCGAATCTTCTGCGCAAAAACGCTATTTACATTTGCATGAGTAATATTATGTACAGCACTCAAGGAGTGGAAACCATCCTCGCGTTGACATCCATCACCGATGAGAGTGCATTCTTGGTGCCATGCCCCACGAGGTCTCGTAATCGCGCATTCTACTGCGTCTGCGTTCCGGCTCGTAAGCGTCGAAGGCCTGGAATGAGATCAAAACTTATCTTCGTGTGCGATACTTGCATGAAAATCACCGCCAGTCGATCGGTCAAAATGAATGAGATCGTAGTCTGGCGATGCCGTCAGACTCGGGCATCTAATCGATCGATTGGCCGGCGGGCGGACGCCGCACCATGGAGCTGGAAGTGGAAGGCAAATGGCCCTGGAAGCGGCGAACTCCTCTCGAGGAGGATGGGAATCGATGAGCGGAGTCTTCTCTTTGGACTCTGAGCAACCTCTACGTCCCAAACAAACTGTCGGGAATGATCACTCCGCCGTTTTTCTGCTCTCGCTCATTTCAGGCTTCCACCAGTTCGACTCCATCTTCTATGTTTGGACGTTGTCGAATGGTCGTGCGGAAACCGTGCAATTTACCAAAAGTTGTCCAATGACCGAAACTTGATTACGACTGTAGCCGTTCCCCGAAGGAGGGAGCTCCAGGGGAGAAAGATATAAAATAGCAGCCTGCGACAGTTTATATTGGCTGTTGAAAACAGGAATACCCATTCGGTTTTTTCTAACAAGCGAAGAATGTTTGTAGACAGAGTGAGTCTAAATCTGGAGCGAGGTGGAAACCGGCGACTCGACTCATACACGTTCTGGAAACGTGCTTCTGACAAACTTCTAACAGATGATCACCCCACACCCATTTTTCTGACTGGAGAAGTAATCTTCCGCGTGTTTACCCTAATCATAAGCTAATCCCTTGAGACGCACGCGTCGGATGACGGAAGAGCTCGACTGCTCGCGGGACTCCGTGCAGAAGTTTCACTCCATTCGCCGGAGGGGAGTCGATCCGAAGCGCACACTGCTATTAGCCGTCTTGCTTGTCGAGGAAAACGACGGCACATGCGAGTTTCGACAGCGGTCACCGTCTTCCAGATCGCTTGTCACGAATCGGGAAGTTTGCCCCAGTCTGGAAACACTCACCTGCGGGTGTTGATGTCTCATCACCGGTGATTCCGAATGATCGGATCTATTTGACATTACCGACTGCGGTCTCCTCGCCAGCGCAACGCACGAAACACAGGCAGAGATAATAAGCACCTGAGCCACAAGAGCAATTGCGAGACACGTAGTTACCATGCTCGAGGGTGCGCATAGCATGTGAGCGTCGTAGGCAGCTGCGGAAAATGCGAAACTCATTGAGGGGCTGTGCGGGAACCAGCCTCATGAATCTCATGATTTTGGGCCGTTGAGTTTCCACTCGAGCGACCTGACTCAATCAGAATCTCACGTTTACTTTTGCTTGGGACGATGTTGACTTCATTCGCGCTACGTCCGTCGACGATCCCTTCGACGATAATTTCTCTCTGGAGCGGAAAGTCAGGCATCATGGACGGCGTGGAGGTCGGTGCTGGTGTCGAAGACGGAGTCGGTAGCATCCTCATGATCGACGCGGCCGAGTGAGCTCTCTTGGCTCTCGTCGAGAGTTGTCTGTCGGACGACCTGCGCGCATGCAGTGACCGGGTTTTAGTCGTCGTTGCGAGAAGCTCACCTCGATTGTGGAATCTACTTCCCAAAACTCACTTGTGGAAGTCTCGGAAATTATGCTCTCTGGGATGATCCCGGTCTGGATGCACGTGCTGGAAATCCGACGGCTTCCCTCGAGAAGAGCAGGTGGGAAGAGGACACTCGTGCAAACAGAATTGCACGGTCACTTGAAACCGCACGACTGTATCGTCTGCGAACTTGAATGCTTCGAATTTCCCTGCGATCCGGATGAAAGCTTCAATAATTTTATCCGAGGCGACTGTCTACCTATGTGGATTTATAAATATTCCTTGTGTCATGCGGAGCGGAAATTTCAGACGCGTGCTAGAGCATATCGAGCGCAAACTCCTATCTGATACAGATTTCTGGTTTCCAGGGTCACAAAAACAACGGTCGCCTACTTCCAACAGCCGAGCTAGGATGGGATCAAACGATATCAATTCAAAATGGACTTCAATTAAAGGCCTCCGGGCGAATTGAATTGTAGGGTTTGCAACAAATAGGCGGCCAGCTATCTTTCCGTATCAGGAGGTCTGAATGTTTGAATCTGAAAATCTATTTGTTCTATTCGCGAATGATTCGGGAGCCATCGGTTCGGCGGAACTCGATCAGGAGAAAAGTGAAAATGTACGTCTTCGCGATCGGACTCCTGTGCTACGATTGCGAAACAGGAAGGAGAATCCGAGAAGAGTGCCGTACCGTCGCGGAATAAATAGCTAATGTTTTCAACAGTTATCCGTGCGGTTCGAGCCGGAGCCGGGTACGAAGCCCTAGGGCCTTTCGAACGTCCGTCGCCACTCCTTCAAGCAAAGAGCGCAACGACGGGCATCGCGTATCAGACTAAGTTGTATTTCCTGATCGTCAAAATCAGTATGCCGGTCAGTTAACGGCGGTGCCAATTGCACCAAGAGTTGATACAATGAGAGGATGGCCGATAGGACTTCGGCTCCCTTCGACGGCTCCGCTCGAATTTTCATACGCTCCGGATGCAACTTCGGATGAACTGTGAGGACGCGATCGATCCACGATGACCGTCGCGGACACGGGTCTCGTATCAGTCAGAGGCATCTCTGTGCTCTTTCGCGGTCACTCGATCCGTGGGATGAAGAATGTGCAGAATCGTGAGACTAATAATCATTGCGAGTGGTCGACGAGACGAGTAATTGTAACTGGCCACTCGATCTCTGTCTAGTCACATTTCAATGCTGGTGGCGAGTCAGAGAAAAAGCAGCAGAGAAAAAAAAACGGTTCTCTCAGAATTATGACCAAAGCGAGCGCTGCCCATCAGCGATTTTCTGGAGAATCGCCCGTGTTTTGTTCATTAAGTTTTCCGGTAGCTCTTCAAGTCGGTTTTGTGGTCCGCTAAATGGTTAGAACGGTCAGACACGCGCAGTGGTTGTGGATACGCTCTTTTTCTATTCATGCCGGGTCTGGGTAAAAATCTCCTCAAAGTCTTTGTTGCGGTCGACTCAAGTGGATCTGTGACACCCAGCACTTGCCCATTTCGGCATTTTCTGACGACTTAGCCATCCGGGAGAACACCACCACCAGCTGTGCGGCTCTCAGGGAGTATTTGTGTCCGCTAAAATGCCCAGACCGGTGGACTACCGAACCGTGGTTTTCCTGAACGATTTGACCGCGGATATCATCCAACTCCGGGCGCTATGGAAGATTGGAAAAGAAAGAGCGAGCGTGTTTCAGGAAGAACTTGCGTGTTCTTCGGGTGAACTTCCGACTTATTTGAATTTTCCCGTCGTTATTGTCAAGAGATCGGCGCTTCCTTAGAAACGATTGGTTGCTTTCTGAACCCATCGAGCGGCATCATGCAAATCACGACAATTCGACTGCTCGGTGGACTGTGGGATCGTTTAGGAGAAATCAGCGACAGGGGCCGCTCTGACTGTTTTCTGCCTCATGTGTTCACCCAGGAGCCCGGATCCATGATGTCTGGACTTATCGTCGTGGATTGCCTCCGAAGGACTGAAGAATCCCTATCTACTGCAGACTGAGACGCTGTATGGGGAGTATATCGACATCCTCCGACGCTAGTAATGATGTCGCATTTGGCAGCTTCCCATGACTGCTCCAAGTCCGAAGCTTCCGGCCTGCCGCCGAGACCGCTGACGATGATGAATCCACTTTTCGATTCGCCTCTCGGGTCAGTCAGTCCCATCAATCAGACGGGAGAGCAATTCTTCCCATGACTCGGGAAATATTCTTACCCATCAATGCTTTCCCTCGAGCAATCTTCTTCAGCGGTGGGAATATCGAGTTGTCTATGGGGCAGCCGGAGTTGTCCAGCAGCGCGATGGAGTCATCGTTCCTGCCCGAAGTGGCCACAAGATCCCTAGCGTAAATCCCTGGAACACGAGTGAGAACAATTCGGTATTCGAGATCACGAGGAGATACGATATCTGATCACTCTATCGAAGAGGTAGAATGCCGCTGCCCGTATTCGCCTCCGTATCGTGCCACCGGCGCGGCGTTTCGCAGTGTGGGTGCTGCGCGCGATTCGTTAACGACCGGCACGACGGACTTCTCCCGTCAAAGACAGAATCACCAGTGTCTTCGAGAGAATCTTATCGTGAATCTGCTCCACCTCCGTCGTCTGAAGGCTACCTTTGGAAGTTGCTCAACAACACGACGTTGTCGACGACGATGACGCCAACAACGGAAAAGTGGACGAGAGCGCCACTAGATCATCGCCACTCGAATAGCTCGCTCGAGAAGGCGAGCCGGAAAAGAAGAACCATCACGGCGATGGTGTTTATCCCACCGTGAAGAGTCGAACTGATTCTCTCTCGTGATGTCCGAATTTCAGTCAACGGAACTTCATGAAGTTTGGCTTTTCTATTTATTCTCCATCTTCGTCCGCTACGGAACGTCCTGAATACTAGCCCCCGTGATCCATCTTAGCTGGCGAAAGCACGGATGCCTGCCCGAATCCGAGTCTGATTCGATAAACCAGTCGATATTGAGGAAGGCGCTCTTCTTCAGTCGGCTTTTGTTTTGTTTGAGGTTCACGTTGATCCGAATGACGCTCCAAGTCATCAACCGGGACGAAATACGGAAAGTAAAGAAGTTGTCGTCTTTATTTTGTCTGCGGTCAAATCAACTTCAAGGAGGTCGATCCGATTTCGAAGCAGTCTCCTTTGAGATTTCGCCTTCGATTCGATGCAATTCAGACGTCAACAAGGGTGAACTGGGTGAATTTTTTTTTTTTCAAGATTGCGAATATTCACCTTCAATTCACTCAACGGTATTGATTTTTCTCTCGAACCGATCACATCCGCTAATTTCTTTCCGCGAATGACAGATGCCGTGCGACTGAAGTTTTGAGCGGCTCGACCAGCGACGGCGGGAAACGGATTTTCTGATAGCTGAATGATTTCGTATCGCAGCCATGGCCTCATTTCTCTGCCGGGGGCTTGACTCGATCGTACGCGCCGATTTCCAGCCAGGGAGTTGCGTCTAGGGCACGCGAAAGACTTGGCTGAGCCCTCCTTCGAATGTCTCTTCTCGAGATTCGCGAACCCTCGCCCTCACGCGTGATTCCGAGCCCTCGTGGGTCCTTTCGAGCTCTCCTGTGTTACCCCGCAGAACGTCACCCATTCGATGTAAGCATCGAAGACGTTTACCCGCAGCGATTGGACGGTTCTGACCGGATACTCTTAGGAGGACGTTTGCTTCCCCCCGTTTCGTGATTTCGAGAAAAATCGCACTACGCGGTTGGTCGCGACCGAGAGAAGATGCTGCACTCTGCAATTCCGTTACAAGAAATTGATGGTCCGATTCTAGAGCAAAGATCTTACCGAAGACAGAATCGTCGTCGATTTCGATTCTCAAATAGAGTTCGTCCCCAAGTTTCGCTCCGATGACATCGGCACCGTTGCGGTCTGTGATCCTCAACCGGATGTTTGGGGATGGAGCCGTTGCGTTGACAGTCCCCGCCTGCACACTTTGAGCGCTTCAAAGTACAAAGAAGTTTCGTCGCATTCTCAAGATCCCGGCATTCTCTCCTTAGCCGAATAAAGATTCCGCGACTTATCGCCATATGAACTTCTTGTTTTCTATATATTCAATGCCTTGTCGGCTCCATGGACTCGAAAGTCAGAAGCGGGTGCATCTACTGGCTCGTGCGGGGATTCGACGAATCGTCTCCACTTACCCCATGAGAACTTTGTACGTGTTCGTGATCGTTTTGTTGACCGCGTCGAAACTACAGAACAATTTGATTACTCGGTCGCCCTTCTGTTGTATGAGTGGATGATGTTGGATGACAATAGTTGATGTGAACACGCCGTTGTCCTGAATACGTTATGCAACAAGAATGAATAAATTAATAAACACATGATAAAATGTTCCCTCGTCACTCCTGTTCCGCGTTGAGCTCTGGTGATGGACGAGTTCTCGTATCTTCCTCCAGCTCCCGTCGCTTGATTTACTCACGTCTCGTTCAACGCCGCAACGATTCGTGCGGAGGCTCATCGCTAACGTCGTCGTGCGATCTCCGCGGCCTGAAACTTCGCAATCGCCCGGCGGAGGATTGTCGACCTTCGAGTAGATTCGTCCTTCAAACGGTTCGAGAGTGTTCAGGGACAGTACCATGGCCTCCTCGTCGCAGTTCAATCGCACTGCACGATACAAGTGAAAGAGAGGGCTCTCTTTAGATCGCGAGCTCCAATGTTACAATGCTCACACGGATTTTCGTGAGCACGAAGAAGAGCTCGATGTTCTTGGGGGCTCGCCGCCCCAGGTCCGAACGTATTCTAGGTGCTTACAGTCTAAGCAGTTCGCTTTTTGGTGAAAGCTCACACCCTGTCGCGCCCTGAGGGCGTTGCTTCCAACCGACAGGGTGTCATCCGACGAGAGAGCGCAGAGCGCGGCTGGAGGGAAAAACGAGAAACTCCTGCAGAGGAATTCCTTGCATCCGTCACATAGCGCTCGGCACTGTTCCGATGAGAAGGCCGCCCGGACCTGGTCTGCCCTGAAGATATCGACGTCCTTTCGCTGCTCGTAGTCGCAGCCGTTGGGGCCATCTGTAGGTTGGTGGGAGAAATGCTCGGATCAGAACCACACGTGTGTTGATTCCGCAGCCCGAGAGCTTGTCGAGCTCATCGCGGACGAGCGTACTTACGTGAAACGCATTGATTTTCGAAATATTCGACGTTGCTCGCCGTTCGGAAGGAGCTCGGCTGTGAGCGGCGATCTTCACTCGATAACCTGCATTCCTGTACCGAGGAGTCGTATTCTCCTGATCTGAAAGATATCCAAAGCGGCGTGCTTGAAGAATTCACTCGACAAATCTCTGATTGACATCGATTAGATCAAACATGTGGGGATCAAGCGCGTCGTCGTCGCTGCCGTCATCAAGAGTTCCGTCGCACGGAATCGACTTGTCTGACTGAGAAGTGCCGCATCAAGCTTGAACAGACATTCCGGAATCCTGACGCCGCGTTGCCCCCGTTGAAAGAACGTTCGGCAACAATGGGAAACAATTCGAATCTGGCACTGCGACGGAAGGAATCCGCAATCATACTATCAAGACTGAGGGTCTCTTGTTTTTGTCGCGTCTTCGCAGACACGGATTAGGCGCTAACGTGAACGGCATTTCTCTGATTCCGCCCGTCAACTCACCGACAAGGAAACGCCTGTTCTTGGAGACAGAGCTCCTCGCACTGCCGACGACTCTGAATGCTTCCTATGACTCGGTTGTCGAATCCTGCGAGCTCTTTCCCAACAACACGCTCCATGATGAATGCTCGATCACAGACCGGGCCTGGAACGTCCGGAAATCGATACATGAGTTTCGGTAGATCGACTCGTCCACCGAACTGTCTTAGAGCGAGAAGAAAAGAGGAAAACCACACAACGCTTCTCGATGATCTAATGATGCTTCCAACGGATGATATCGCGAATTATCAGACCGTGGCGAAAAAGATCGATTCCCGTTTTTGTGCTACGCTGTGGATGCGATAATCTGTAGACACGTGTTTCGAGATACGGCGAAGATTTCTACGAAAGTGAGGGTCCCCCTCTTCTGTATCGAAGGCCTGCTCGATTGTCATGCATGCACTGCCACGATGTTGCTTCATGTATAACGGTTTCGATCGTTTGTAGGAACTTCTTCGTCGTAATGATGTCGCGATCCGTGACCGTATCTTAGCCGCCTGAATCTACGTCCCTCAGGCAGAACAATTTCGATAAGCGGCCGATAGTGTTTGACATCACGGGAAAAATCGAAGACGGATCGACGGCGGGGGTCATCAAATTGCACAAACTATGCTCGAACACTGTCGCTTCATCATTCCGCGCGGAAAAAGCGAAATGATCATCTAATGTCGCGTCGAACTTGCGATCGATATTTTTGGGCGAGAGCTTTTCCTTATCGGTGGGGCTATCGGTCTGTTCTTTTTCGTTTACATGTCTGGCATCATTCGAGGAAGCACACAGTTTTTTGCATGTCGTCCACGGCTCGGTCGCAAGACATGGGCGCGAAAAACAAATGACAAGAATACTCGCCTCGTATACACATTTTTTCGAAGTAGTTCGCTCTGTCTGATGACGCTAGCAATTTCTCACGGCTGAAAAAAAATCCTCTCGCTTATTCAAAAAACTTGAAGGGAAAATTCCAACGATTCGTGTCGATGACTCGCTTACCGATTAGCTGGCACGAAACTGGCGGCAAAACATATGTTTCTATCGTAGTTAACCATGACGCCCATGCATTCGCTTGATTGGTGGCATCTGCAAATCGAGATCAGGATGATGCAGGGTCCAAGACTCCAAATCAATCCATAGACCAGCGGACTAATATCCTACTCCAAGGCGAGCGCGTGAGATCGTGCCGCGAATACCGGGCGTAGAGCGAAAGTTACAATGAAAGGAAAACATGAGAAGGAAGCTCGGAATAAAGCGGGATGAGCAAACCTTTTGATACAGTCAGACGTTGTCCCAGAATTGTCTTCAGATATTCCATACATAGGAGTGAGTCTCGAATGCGAAGGTTTATAGCCGACAATTTTTTCAAAAGTCGTACTTGAATCTTCGGGACAGTTCATTTGAGCTGGAAGATTAGGAGAGGCGTTATCCTCACGAAAGCTATCAAAGATTTTTTCCCTGTCTGTTGGGAACTGCTCGCACTCTTCCAAAAGGAATGCACCGAGAATCTACCGGTGATCGCGGTAGAAGATGAAGGAATATTCTGTGCTGGAAACTCTGCGAGGTGCCTCGAAGCCTGATGGAACTCAACGAAAAAATTGTGAACCACAGATCGCGTGAGCGCGGTAATAGTTATCTCTTGGTAGCTGAACGCCCACCCTTATCCAAATCAATGCCTCGTACCAGAAGCTCCGGTCAGAAATCAGAAGGAGGACAAAGATTCCCTCTCGAAGAATAGGAGCGGACAAAAACGCACGCACAGATTATAACCGAACATTTTCGCATCTGACCCGCCTCTACTTGATCCAGATTTCGAGCGAAAGCGAACACTTCGGGGGCTTGATAAGTATCAGAAGAGTTTCAAGCATCAACGATCTCGCGAACGGAGAGGACCTCTTAGGGTGGCGCATCGACGGATTCTGTTTTTGCTCCAAGTTTGAAATCAAACGATTTTTTTTACCTTCCGTCGAAAGCGTTCATGCCGACGTCGAACTTTCGAGCGATGATACTTCGTCACTCAGCGTATGCCGCAAGAATGAGGAACAACAATTCTCGCACTCACCTACAGCTAGGGCTACGACGCCGCATAGGACGCAAGAGGCAATCGCCGGAAACCCTCTCCGACTGAGATCACTGGAAAAAAAGGTAACAGGTAAGTTCCGACGAGTCTCATAGCTAGTCGAAGCCGAGCACCAGCCGCTCCGCAGCAAGCGAAGAAGGAGATCATAGCTTCAGCTTATGGAAAAAAGCGAGCAAAAAACTTTTTATGGGCAGGTTTTCTGGGCCGTAGGACTTTTATTACTTGATAATCATTTAACAAGACAATAGATGCGTCGATCGAGCTAAGTTATCCCCGAGAAAAAAAATCCCCCAAAGTCATCTGTGCGCGGAAGATACATTAATTACTCAGAAGTAAGCATTGTTTATATATATGTGGAACTTCGCTCTCCCACGAAACAGATAATGCAAAATCCAACGAAGCAGAGCCTCAGGTAGCGTAACATGAACAAGCGAAGCAGAGAAGTAGCCAATCTTCGGAAGTACCTTTCGTTACTTAAAGTTGCACCTTAAATGATGTGATACTGTTGGCCGAGAAGGGAGATAATTGAGATGTGGCAAGTCATTATCCAAGCGGCTTGTATTGCGCGTCTCACAGAAGATGCAACTCAAGCGGATTGTGGCACCCCTCGGACATTTATGCCCTCCAGGAATGGACGCTTAAAATGTCCACGAGTTGTGAAGCGACTACAAATATTCTCTGTGATGACAAAACACGCAGTTTGCGTTTTGACGCCATTCTGATAGGAACCCATCGCTATTCAAGCGCCCAGCTATTAAGCGAGTTTTGGGTGCAATATGAAACTTCAGAACCTCCGTCGACTAGTCTATTCATTCAAAAAAAAACACGAAATCACGGAATATCTGACATGTAAATGCCCCTGGCTCGAGATATGCAACAATCTTCTCCCAAGTAGTATGTTTGATAATATGAGAACAATGTCTTCATGGCTTTTGTGCTTGCTCGGCGGAATCGTACTCATACTCCATGAAATCTGTCTCTGGGATGCGCCTTTTATTCTTTCCATTATTTCGGAAGCGTCGCTGCTACAGATGTGAAGATGGGAACTCAAGCTGTCCAACGAATGACTTGTCGAAGAAAAACAAGCCGATGGTCAAGCGAGTACGACTTCCATACATACGTAGAAAATGATTGAAGGGTAAAGACAAGAAACGAGCAATTTGACCCCGTGGAGCAATAAATCAACCACTGTCACAGATGCTTATGAAGCGATGTCTCTGTTTCGTGCCTCGGACCTCAAGATAAACTGTCATCTGGGCCCGAGCTTTCTGCCAAGCGAGGTACGTCGAAACACGGCACTTTCCCATCTCCCCCTCCGGATTCATCCCCAAATCGGATCGTACCTCGCCATCGAATCGCTTCGCTATTCAACCTGCTCCGGAGTCCCAATGGACAAAATTTATCCGGACATTGTGGACCTCGTCCCCTCCGTTCCGATCCCAATGCTTGTCGAATGCCTCCTAGAACGCGACGGATCATAAGAAGAAGACTTCGCTTACCGTTTTCACCGGAAAAAGCCTGATTCACTTTCTTGATTCAGCGGCGATAAACATGGCTTAATTCGATTCATAGGAATGTTCGGCTTCACCACGAACGATGGGGATCGCCCGCCTAAGCTTCTTGATGAGATAATCTATATCGAGTTCTCTTTCACCGCTTGGATGGGTTCCTTCATCAAAACAATCGTTCAGCGAATACCAAAGTCTCCGATGCACAGGCGTTGGGGGGGGGGGAATCTGCGACCGGGCGAAATGATGGACCCAGGCTTCGAATGCTCCCATTCAGACGAAAAAGAAAAGAAAAGTTGAGCTTGAAAGGGAGTCATCGCTGTTCCCAAAAACCTTCGCTCGATCCGAAATTTTTCTGTCGTTTCACTGTTGCAGAAGAAGAAAGCCTTTCAAGCTCCTCCTTCTATTGAATGGGAGAAAAAAGATGAGGCTGCGATTTGACAACTTCGAAGGTCTTCCGTAGTGATTTACCGAATACACTAATCACCGATCACGGACAGATCCTTACTGACAGATGAATAACAAAAGCACAAAAGACGAGGAAATAGCTTCGCACTTTTCAGTAGGAAAATGGAGAACAAAGCAAACGATGCGTCGTCGATCTGAGAGGTCGATCTGAATTATTCGAGAGGGCCTGAATATCGACGAGGAGAGCTGCCCAAGCGACCCTCCCGGAAGACACTGATTTTCCTCAGCATATATTTCTCACTGCCGAAAAGATGTTGCGCAAGCGAGATAATTGCAATTGATTCCGTGGGAGCTCGCGTGAGCTCACATGGGACGTTGTTGTTTTCTGTATGACGAAAGAGTGACTTCTTGATAATTGGAGGTCATCTAAGCAACAGAAAACTTTCATCTTTGGCCCGTGGACGCGCGTTCGCTTTCAATCTCCGTCTCGTTTCGGGTGGACGAGAGATTCCATGTTTTCGCATGATGAGGATGCCAAGCTGTTTCGTCAACTTATTTTCCGTGACTTTCTGTTCGCCGCTTATGTTCTTTCATTTTCGGTGCTCATACGCCTCGAATACCTATTTCGTTGCCAATGACAGAAATTGAAGAAGATCTTCGGCAATGGGGAACTCCGCGGCGAGCTGGGAGGAAGTACCACCCAAGTGTACAAAAGAAAAATTCGGGAAGAAATTTACGCGTTTGCATTCTTAGATCAGTGTATTCGGAAGAATATATACGCGCTTTCCGCGATATAATCACGGACTCGTCCAAAATCACTTCGCCGATGCCCCGAACTACCGAAACATACGAAGCGCTGAACGGTAGCTACGGCGACAGTTTACCAACCGTGGTGTCGTCAACAATGATCTTGTTCCTCGCAGCGCGGAAGTAACGTATTGGACGTATTAGCTAGCCCAACATCGATTCTTGTCGGGGCAGTGACCGCGACGACATCCACACCGCACCACGCTGCCGCCGGAGACCGGCACTTCACCAATCATCAAATCTGTCCGTTAGTCCAGCTATAGGTCCATCATTCGAATGCTTGTTGATGCTCGCTTGTTGTGTCTGTCCGACTACTGCTGCCGCTTTCGTTTCTTCCATGACGAGTCCTTCACGGCATCGCTCTACAGACGGCGTCGTCACCGAGGAGCCGGGTCAGAAGAACGTCTTACTCTTGTCGCCGCGGGAATCGCCCACGGCTAGGGCCATCGAATAAATCAGGGAGCACGTCTCGCTGCCCATTCTCCTGAAGATGTTTATCGCAAGCGCAGTCGATGAACCACTATCTACCGGCTCATTAGCTAACACTGCGTTCTATTCTTATGTAATCGAAATCACGCATCGATAATCGAGCGAAAGTGCATTCCCTGCCAATTGTCACACAAAAAAAATCATTCGAAGAAATGACCAGACGCGGATCCGCCATTGGCCTGTTCCCCCCTTCGCCCAATGCCCCCTCCCCCCCATCGTCGGGGAAATGGTATTGAGCTGAATCGCCCGCAGGGAGCTGATGGCGAGCGCATGTGTTTCCAGAGTTGCAGGTCTGCCACCTATCTCTCGATTCAGTCCGAAAGCCCCAAACGAAATGAGCTGACCGGGACCGGAGCGAACCGAGTTCCGGCGGCGTTGCAACGATCCGTGTCGGCATCTCCAGACAGAGGCGGGAACCCCATTATCGGACACCCGCCTCTTCGAAGAGCCGTCGTCGAAAACGACCGACCCTACAAGTATTTCATCTCGAGCCGTCTTCAATCGTTCGGGGCAAGAGGAGATCAAGTTGACAGAGCGAAGTCCACACTTCATCTTTACCCCGGTCATTTGAACGACTCATTTAGCGAGACGTCGCGTCTTAACCAAGTGAGCGTGGGCTGGAGTCATCATCGCACCTCACGGCAACATCTTCCCAGCGGACGCTCCGGGAATTTCCGTGCGTGGCTTCTGTGGCCAACGCCAATTCATCGTAGTTCGACAGGATTTTCCTCGTACGCCTCTTCCGTTGAGACGGAGACGGATGAAGCCACGGTTTCCTGGCGTGTTCTCCCGAGTACACATGCATCGGAATCGTAGCCGAGCGCTCATACAGATTGATATCTCCATCTGACTTTTTGATCTCGTCAAATAGTCGGATTTCGATATGTCGACGGGGCTCATTGTGGATTCGTCACGTGTGGCCAGTCAGGTGTCGGGTTTCCGGATGTTCAGACTCTTGTTGCTGTGATTCCATAACGGTATGACGATCTGTAGAGCGCTCGGAAGTCCGGCCCGTCTTCCGAATGCATGTCAAGTGTTCACAACAAGCATTGTGTCGTTCGAACCAAAGAGCAAAAGGTTGAAGCGACCTCCCGATCGATATCAACCGACGAAAATTCGTTGACCTCTCGATGTCCGAGCGAAGTGGGGCGAAGCTCATTCTTAAGAACGATGTCTTTCATTCAGCTTCGGGAGATACTTATCGTACGCGAGGTACAATATTAACGTGATCATTTGCCTCCGAAGACGTGCTGGCTGCCCAAAGAAGGGCTGGAGCCCTTTGGCGTATTGGCCTGCGACAGATTTGACGATATAGATACAGTTACGGCCATCGGCCTCTCAACGGCGAAACCGAAGACGAAACTCTGACTTTGCGATTCTTGCCCCAGCAACCATGCAATGCTCCTAATGATCATAAACGGCAATGGAACTGGGAACCCCTCGTTGAGCCTGATGAAATAGTCGCTTACGATATTCGTGATTTTGAACCGAGATATATGCCGAAGATCGAGGGGCCGAAATCATACTTTTTATCTCCCGAGGAGGCTGCGCTCGTGATCGCCTCTGCACGAGTCTCCGCTGCCACACTCGCTAGACGGCGCGAGAGCGCTTGTTCCAAATTACGCCAAATCAGCCGGCCGGTTTGAATCGCCGATGTGGACAACAAGGTGAACAAGGGGATCCGGTGGCGAATCCCATCCCAATACTCGCGAGTCGTAGCTTCCTCAAAATTGAGGCTAACAGAATCGGAACAGTGGACTTCGCTTGTCCCGATCGGTAAGCTGTCGGGCAGTCCGTCAAGACGACCCTACTGTTCTTTTTTTTTGTTATTTTTACTCCCACAAAACCGGTAAAGTTCGATTGCGCTCTTCGTCGCTAACTGGTTCGGTTAGGACTCGCTCGCTTCGCGACTCGTTGTCTACTTTTCAGACTTATTGTTTCTGAGAGAAACGTTTCCGTGGACGAACTTTCAGTGTCGAAACTCTTGTCGGCAGCTTGAAAATCCTAAGCCTAACTGATGCGAATATAGGGTGGTATTTTGAGCAATAGGAGGAACGGCATAAAAACTTGGACGGTTCTTCTCACGTCCAAGTCTCCTCATATTCAACGGTGATCGCTCCCCATGGGTTCGAAACTTCGGAAAAATTTGTAATCGACTAGGAGGCCGGAGGACCGACTGGCAGAACGAGCTCTTCTCTTATGTCCGCGGGCGCAGAAGTCAATGCTGATTATTGTCAACTTGTCTGCGCAGGCGCCGTCGGACTTGTGTTCAGAATCATATCTGACATGGACTACACAGAGGTGCAAGTCACAGAGCTGATATGGAGAACGCGTAACCGACGTCCATCCGTGCCAAGTTGATTAGAATGAGAAAGGACGAGGGAGAAGTTCACCGAAAGTTATACGGGACCATTATCTCCGCATTCGCCAAAATGAACAATCCAACTGCTTTTGCCGGTTGTCAGTGCGTCACCGATGTACGTTCCTACGCCTGGTGCTTGGGGAGAATCGTCTCGGGACGCTCATAATGACTTTGTTTGGAAGGCGACTCTCGAGCTTAATTTTCTCTGGGAGTTGCTTTCCCAGCGTCCGCTGCGAGGAGCTCGGCCAAAACAATCGATATTGGCCCAACCGGCTCCACTGACGTCTCGGAGTCACTTTCGACCCGTTACATCACGATATGTTTGTCGAAATCTTAATGAGGAGCTACGGAAGCAAGAAGTTCAATCAGCGATGACGCCGGTTCACGGATGGCCGTCGCCAGACAGACAAAGTCTTAAATGCCACCGTCGGGAGCCGTCAAACGTTCGGGAAGCGGCCATCCCTGCGACAGGTTTTCTTAACGAGTGTTTTCGATTCCACGGCTTTCCAGCTGGCTCAAAAATCGCAGTCCTTATCGAACGCCGGCTTATCCGAGTTCCTGAATCCCGCAACAAATAGACCGAAAAGTGGCGGATCCCACGAACACATTTGACAATCTCTATTATCCAGCGAGCGAAGCGTCCAGGCGTCTCGTTGCGAGATCTCCGTCACAACTCTAGGGGCTCGAGAGTTGTGATGGGGGAAACGGGGTGCGAATGACGGATTTCGAGCTCCACGGAGGCTTCAAAGTTCCTCTCGTGCCGAAAATTGCAAGATCCGTGAGCAAAGGCGTACCTAGTATCTATGGCGGGCTTGGAGGGGGCGACTTCCGTCAACTCTGCTCTCGAAGAGGAAAAAGTGGGAGGCGGAAGCTCCTGGCTCCATATCCAAGCTCCATGGCTTGGAAATTCCGGTCGCCGAGGAATCTTGACCTCGAAGACCTCAAGTTGAGACCCAAGGTCTTGAAAAATTGCAGCACCGAGTTCAAGCACCCAAGCCGCTGATCTAACCTGTCCAGCGCTCGAGTCGTGTCCGTAATCTGTGCTGACCACCTTGAGGAACGAAGGATGCTGCCTCGCTGAGTATCCCTGCAGTTCCCCAGATCATAGCTCTCGAATATTAGACTCGAGTCAGGCACCCTCCAGGCTTTCATAGCTTGGTATTTTTCGATGAGGAACGCACGAGGGTCCGTTGATCTTGGGGCAGAGCACTTCGATAAAACTCGAGGCAGAAACTCTAGGATGCTTGAATGATGAATCAAGTCACTAGCAGTGAGTTTCGGCGAACTTGTTTCTCGGTGTACCCCGAGAGGAAGCTCCTTACTCCGACTCACCTCATATCCATCGTAAGTACGCCTATTTGTGTTGGCTGCGATCCGATTTTCACACTTATTACACGAAAGTACTCCAGGCACCTCACGAATCACATTCCAAATTCTATAATCATTCCATCGCCGAAAAACTTGGGAGTTCAGGTTCCTCGGGATCGAATGAGATCATTGCATAGTTGACACAATAAAATTTTCTCCTCACGAAAGGAGTTCTGGCGGCCACCTCGGAGAATTTGAGAACCTCTGACGCACGTGACAGCACCGTTGGACTTCCGCGCGACGTGAATGATTCAGACAAAGCCAGAAGACTTCTGCAGTTCGGCTCGGACCCACGTTGGATATTCTGAATCCCTCTCCGTTCGACGCATCTCCCTTGCCCCTGTGCTACCCTTGTGTGCATTGACGGTGCGCGGACAGGCAAAGAGGCATTCCATTCACACAAATAAGTGTGGACACTTCGGAAACGGCGCTGCGGATTCCCGGGCTCACCGCTATGAAGATCGCGAGCCGATTCGCGAACGTTTTCGCGGTCAGCTATTGATTATCCCCCATATATCGAAAAGTACATTCACAGCTTCCCAGTTCTAACTCAACCTTGGTGTGCGCAGAATTTAGTCGGGAACGGTCATCGCGAAGTGTTGTGGAGGGATGATCATCGTTTCGGCGCGTCAATTACGAATAAAAGAGAAACAGCTTGTCAGAACGAAGGAGCCCGTCAAAAAAACAAGAATAGACTTGTCAAAATGGAGACTCTCGTCACGAATAATAAGGTACCCAATATCTTTTCGTCGACAGAAAATTCACCTTTCATCGAGTTGGGATGCGACAGGAAGAACCAGAGGTTTGCTGAGCGCTTGTGCTTTATCCCGCGCGACGCTAAAATAGGAAGTGTCACCGCAAAAGTCCGGGGGATTTGTCTGATTCCAGCGACTTGTATCAGAGGCTCGGGGATTTTCGGACACGAAAAAACATATCCCTTCTTTCGCTCCACTCGCACCCGAATTCAGAGCCTGCTGCTGGCTTGACATTTCAGATTTCACTCTTCAGCGATAAAACAATGCAGCACGTGTAATAAGCGTCGGGGTGGTCGAAGGCCCGGCTCTTGTTGGGAGCTTGACGGATTTGCCCTACTCATAATTGCGTTTCCGCCCGGAGTTTCAGTTCTATTCAGAGGTCTACGAACCTCGGTCCGTTATCTCGACGCGGGGCTCGGGAACAACTGATTGTAAACGATGGTATAATGCTGAGTTCAGCAAGTGCTTAAGGATATCCCGTCGAATGAGTATTCGAAATGCTGCAGATGATACCTGCAGCGGAAAAACGTACGAAAACTTTGAACCACGATCGTGGGAGGGACTTTTCAAGTCTCACGGACGAGATGTCCCGCTACGGGTGTAGCCAGTCGCCGTCTCCGATCAGCTTTTGATCTTCACATCAGATGTCTTACTATCAATCATCACGTTAACATATTTTAGGACAAAGAAATTGAATCATCGCGATAATCGGTACTGGAACCCCGTTGCGCGACTTTTGAGTTCGAACTTAGGGCAGGCATGGACTTCAGAAATTCATGATTTCCTCGATCCCGGGAAGCCTTTAGCGTCGTGGCAGGAAGATGGGGGTCTGAGGCAGTGATGTGTATCAGAGGCATGCCACTGTTGCAGGATGTATCGTGTTCCGTAAACCACGCACACGGAACGTGAAGCTTGACAAGTATTTCAAGTGCGCTCTGAGGGCATGCGCCAAGCCCCTACACCATATATTGTGGAACATCCTATCCTTTGTTTGACCTTTTCGAATGAACGACATTATTCGATGAAAAGGAAAGCTTGGCTTGTTAAATAGGCGTCGCTTCATGTCGGATTCATCCGCAGATATGACGCTCGGCAGCCGTCTCCTATTGCTGACTATTATGAACTGCATGAGAGCGGTCCGTTCGTTGGTCCGGACGCGGCTGCTGGTCGCTCGTGACATCATTCTGACCATCGATAGAAAGAGGGCTGAGACGAAAACCGAGGAAGGAAATAACGACTGGGTAGTCGAAAGACGTCCTCGTTCCCGTGTATTTAGTTCGTCATCGTACGACGACAACGGAGTGATAACCGTGAACGAGCGGCGCTTGAACGGAAGTCGTATCGTCAGGTGGATGGCGGGCTTGGCGGACGGCAAGTCGGACGGAGTGCAGCCGCATAACTACATTAGGTGAAGACCTCGTAAACTAAACTCTCGCAGTTTTGCTGCCCACATTCTGAGCCGACAGGCCGAACGGAAGTTGATAGCGCACTTGAATGTACGGTGATCTCGCTCGAGAATTTATGCCTCATGTCGGTGGTAAATTTTATACGAAGCAGGAGTCAGTCGCCGGTCCTCGTGGGATCGCAAAGATCTACACGACGCCCTTTTCACGCGCGACACCTATCTATAGGGCTTTCCCTTGTCATTTCATTGTCGTCAGCTCCGAGCCGTAATGCCGTGAGCGTATTGAGTTTCTCGCTCCATGATTACTCGATGGGTCGAGAGAAAACATCTCGAATAGATCCCATCGGCGAAGCGGCATCTTTCGGACTTGGAGAATCCATAGCGTTTAGACTTTCTTCCGTTTTCCTTGACGATTCGGATGCGTGTCGCTTGGGATAGCGGAACCGGTGTCGGAAGCGGCCGAGCTTGCGGTGTTCCCGTCACATCTCGGAGAAGGGATGTGCAAGACGATCTGAGATCCACATAGGCGGCGGCTTTCCCCTTGAAGGGCCAAATCGAATTTTGATGCAAATCTCAAATGGTTGCTTTCTCGTCCGTTTGGTGAACTTCTTCGGTGCGTTTTGAAATAAGACTGCGTCTGCCTGAAACCGCTTCCCCCCCCTCGCCGGCCCCCCTCCACGCCGCCACCGACACGAACGATGTGGACGACTGCAACGACTACCGCGAGCGCTACGACGAATCTCGCCAACCATAAGGTTCTTATAGAGCAACGCCTTTTCGCGGGCTTGCTCGCTCCAAAGCCGGGAGGGGGAGAGGGAGGAGTCTCGCAGAAAATGAAATGGAAACTCTCGAGCTCGCGCTCGCGGAGCAGGGAGAACATTTTTGCTCTTCCCTAAACATTCCACCGGTGAGAGCGGTGGCCGCCCGAACGAGGAGCCCAGAGGAAGATAGGGGAAGATGATAGGACGGAACGATTCGGTGGAAAAAGGAGAATGACATCCAATTTTAAGGATTTTGTGTTCAGCACTCGCACAATCCGCACAGCGTTCAGCCTCATCGTCTCACCGGACGTCAGTGTCGTTGTCGTCGACAGGCTGTGGGTTTCCCCTTGTGAGCTCACATAGACATGTATCGCTGGCAGTAGGGAGACGGAACATTTCCCTCCTTCGCGGGGAAATCTTCCAGTATTCGAATGGAAGATGTGAAAACAGAATCGGGAATATTCTGATCTAGCACTGTCCCGCGAGCATGTCGCGGCTCACCAATGAATCGAGCCTTTTATCCGCACAGGATATGTGTGAAAGCAGGAAAATAAGTGTGGAGCTCGAAGTTCATTGCATCCTCATATCTCGGATGGCGCACCGTCGACTGTGTCGAGCGCTCCGCTCTAGACTTCCGGTAGGGTGAGAGCACTAAACAAGGAAATTGCAACCCACCATCCATCCAGCCTTCCATCCAGCGTGACAACGAGAGGCAAAACTCGCCGTCCAGGCGTTCACGCTCGGCAGCTAGTCAACCAGGGATCCAACCAGAGGAGTCGAAGTCGAGCGATGTTTGCGAAGTAAAGCAAGCCGGCATCGCAGCCAATAATACCTCCCCGACTCAACGGTGATGAGCAGCAATCGTCTCGAAATTTCGTCATCAATATCCCAGCAAATTCGACACTACATCGAACGGTGTTCTCGGCGTCGGCGATTGGCTCCGAGCGACAACCTGCTCCAGCGGAACGGTAGAACGAGCAGAATATCGATAAAGAAATAAAACAGGTATAGCGGAGAGCTGTCAGCCCCGTGGAGGACGAGAGAGTGCGCGTGCGACGATTAGAGAGGTCGAGACCAAGGCTCCACCAGAGAAAACATCCAGAGGCAATGTTAGCTTTCTCTCATAGTGGCTTGATGGAAGGGTAGGTAGGTACCTACTCTCGTCTGTCTATCATTATTTTTTCCTCTTTTCTGCATCTAACGGGATCTCAAGCCTTTGCTGCTCCGACGTCCACTGGCGGCTCGGTTTTGCTCGCTGCAAACATCGGGTATTTCTTCCAGTGCGCGTCGGCGCCTCCGAGGAGAGGCTCGAGGGGAAGGCGACGGTTCGATGTCATGCGCATCTTCCGTCGTCATGGATCGCGTTGACATCGAATACGATTCTTTGTCGCGTAGTTTGTATATTTTTCGAAGGACGAGCTCTTCGCGCGTTCTCGCTGCGAATGAGACGAATAGGACGAGCAGGTATAGGATCTCTTCATTCTTTGCATATAGATGTCAAACAGCAGTCGAAGGCAGGAAAAAAGGAGGCAAGCGAGCGGGCGGCCTTTTTTTGGAATCAATTTGCTTGTTGGCCTTCGCTCCTTGCGACCCAGCCAAACAGTCACCCTGGTCGCTTCCTTCCTTCGTCGCCCCAATGCCGTCGTTGTAGCCACCGCCGCGTCGCCCGCTATATAGGTAGGAAAGCCTTGAGGCTCCTTTGGCCTATATTGAAGCTAACAGCAGCGGCAGCGACGGTGGCGACGGCGGCAGCAGCTGCTTCTTTTTGTGAATGTCTCCTTCTCGTTGTACACAAAATTCGCGCAAATCTTCGGTATGCATACACGAGTTCCTATTCCACCCCGTTGACCCGGCTCTCCTATCTCTCTCGGGAAGAAAACCAGCGTGCCGACAAGGGGCTCCATCGGAACAGCTGATGGAGCCTGCGCGCAACTGCCAGAAAATCTTCCCACTGTCCAAATCGAAATGAACGACCTCCGATAAATTGGGCTCAACGGTGTCTTGGGCCCCTCGACGTCAAATCCCTGGTCCGCCTCCGATTAGAGGGTGCAGGT